GTGGGCCCGTCACCTGCAAGGATGGAGTACTGGCACGAGCAGGGAAGATTCCTGGCAATCAACTTCTTCGATGGGACCACTTGGAGGACGCTTTGGAATGTTTATGCTCCTGATGACCCGCAGAAGAACTTCCAGTTCCTGCGGGACCTCGCCGCCGATGCGCAGGAGGTCCAACCTCACTCCATTGCTGGAGACTTCAATAGTCCCCTACTGTGGGGGACGGACATGGACTTCCTCTTCGAGGACTTGTACTCCAAGTTGACGGACATGCTTGGTCCCGATCCTTACACCTTTCAGAGAGCTCAATCCAAGACAAAGATTGATGACATTATTTGTCACAAAGACGTTCGAATGGAATTCGGTCCTCCAATCACGTTTTTCCCCTACGACAATGGGCACGCCATCATCTCGACCAAGCTCAATTGGAACGCCGAGGTGCATCAATACTTGCAGATTGAAGGATATCACATCAACGAGCAGTGTGGGAATCACACCGAAGTATGGGATGACTTGCAAGATGAATGGTGTGTGGCTTATGAGAAATTTGATGTGGATATGTGCTGGTCCATCTTCGCCTCAACTATGTTTCGTTTCTGGAACGGCCATACCAACTTCAAGCGAGTCCCTGGCCTGGGAGTCAAAATGCATTGGGAAAACCAGCAGAAAGCGATTTTTCACAGGAAGCTTATTGCACAATCCAGTGAAGCACAGGAGCACGAAGAAATCCGTGAAGCCCTTCTTGAGCTGGGTCAACCCTCACTTGACAAACTTCAGGCTTGGAAGCACAGAATGCAGCAGCCCGGCGACAAGTCCCAGAAGAGTAAATGGATTGGGGACGTTTGCAAATGGGTCAGGGCCCCAACCCGCAAGCCCCCCCCTTTTATCAAAGCGAACGATGGCTGGACCAAGACCCCTCAAGAGACGGTGGATGTCATCCGCGACTTCTTTGCTTCAGTTTACCAGCATGATGACCAAATGTCCTGGGATGTAGGCAACGCCAACCACGAAGTCCCTGCAGATATGTGGAATGTGAAACACCTCAATCGGATCCTCAGAAACGGGAAAGGTATCTCGTCGCCGGGGCTTGGTGGTTGGACCTACGCGCATTTCAAAAAGCTTCCGCCTAGGGGCGTGGATTTCCTGCACAGTCTTTTTATGCTTTGCGTTATTTGCGGGAGGGTTCCCAAGCACTGGCTTAATGCTAAACTTGTGGTTATTCCGAAAGGTGAAGCCGGCTTTGATCTCGATGCCATGAGACCCATAACTATCGAAGTCACGGCTCTGCGCATTTTCCACAAGTGGCTTTTGAAGTGTGGTGAAATTACCTTTGATAACCTCCCTGAGAACATCATTGGGGGTGTACCTCAGCGCAGTGGCTACCAGGCTTGGCTGCACGCCTCTCTTTCGGCTGAGAAATGCCAGAATGAGACGCACCTCTCATTTCATGGTGTGGCAATCGACACAGTCAAGTTCTTCGATTGTATCCCACATTGGCTCGCTTGTCATGCCTTATCCGAATGGGGTATGCATCAGGCGGCTGTCGGCACCTGGATTCACTCCATCAGGCACATGAGGAGATTCGTTTCCACCTCAGGCATAGTAGCCAGACGGCCCGTTCTTGGGACGATCGGGTTGCCTCAGGGTGACCCCATCAGTATGGCCGCCGCTAGCCTGGTGCTGGCGGTCTGGTCAAGAGATCTCAACAGCGCTGTCTACAATTATGTGTATGTGGATGATAGGCTTCTTTTCACGGAAGGTGACTCGAATGAACTCCAGCATGCCTTTGGACGTACCGAGGCCTGGGATACGCTTCATAATTTTCGCACGCAAATTAAGACTTGTCAAATCAGAGATGTGAAGAAGTCCACACCGCTTTGTTGGCGGGATGGACAAGTGGTCAAGGAAGTCAAATCGGTTGATTACCTTGGTGTTCCCCTGGCCATCGGGCTCTTTTCTTCTAAGACTTGGTTTGAAAAGAAAATACACAGAGCTATTACCGCGCTACAATTGCTTGCAAGGGCCAACCAACCTGCGGCCACCACCAATATGATTGTCCGCACGGTCATTATTCCCATGCTTACGTATGCAGGCGCTACACTGAGACCGACTAAGGATCAGCTCAGGCAGCTTCGCACGGCTATTCGTACTGCGGCACACGGAAGCAAGCTTGGGACCTTTTCGGCTCGAATTCTGTTTCAGAAGAACTACTTGCTTATGGACCCTGAGTTTTTCTTTGTCTGGAGGAACCTGCTCTTCTGGAACAATCATGCCTTCAAGAGGCCCGCCTTCAAGGATGCTGTGATTCAGAGCTGGGAGAAAGCTCTTCCCTCTATCAAGAAGATTGGCCCTGTTTCCCAGCTTAAGAAGGATTTGGAGTATTTGCAGCTTCATTTGAACATTGACAATTTGCAAGTTAGCAACGATGAGGGTAGATTGCTTTGGACCTTTGGAAGTAGCGACTGCAAAGTTATGAGCAAGGCTCTTAGTCATTCCTTCCGTAACAAGATTGCTTCTGAATTGGAACAGTGCAACTCCACCTGTTGGAAGGGAATCGGCAACCACGATTTCGGCACAACCACTGCGCTTCTTCACTTATTGCCTGAAGGGCACCCCGTGCAACAAAAGCTCATTCGAGTGCTGATCAACGGGATTAATTCCTTCCACGTGCAATTTGTCAAGAAGTTCACTGATACTCCAGAGTGCAGAGAATGTAGACACCATGACGCAACTATGGCGCACCTGTTTTGGGAATGCCCTTTTTGGGCCGATCTGCGCAGTCAATGGGATGAAGGTTGGGAATCCTGGTTACAGTGGAGCCCCTGTTCGCAACACCTTCTTGTGTTCTGCAAGGACCTTCCCCCTAGGCTTCAGGCTAAATGGGGTACGATTCAACGACAAGCGGTTGACCTCCTTGGTAAATGGGAAGCTCGTCACCGTGATCTCCGTACAATTGATTACAATATTCAGCTTGATCATGCTCCGGTGCAGTCTGATCGTGCTGATCGACAGCACGCTCAGCCGGAAGACATTTATTTGCTCAGCTCCCCCTTCCACGGCCACGTTGTGTTTAAAAGGGGACAATTCTTGACTATCGACCCTGATATGATGGCGGTCAAAGCTAACTTATGGTACTGGGGTGGGTGTATTGAAGACTTCCACCTCCTTCGGGGTATGCTTGACTGGTGCATATTTGACAAAGGCAAAGCTGAAACCCTCTCAAGAAGACATACTTGGATTGAGGCCTTGCTGCTCTTCATCTTTATTGCAGGGGACAAAGCGCCTTTCCTGCGGAAGATCAAGACTGCTCGTGAGGCCCAGTGGAAGATCCGGATGTTATGTCTGGGTATTCTCAAAATGCAAGGGATTCCGATTGATGTTGAAACCGAGCCGGACATGTTGGAGCTTTGTCAGTCTTGGCCTCCGCTGCCGACGTTGCCCTTTGGGCTGATGCTTCCACGGCACGACGGCATCAACATTGGGACTAAAGTTCTGGTCAACTTGAATGAGGAATATCTTATGCTTGGCAGGCCGCTGCGTAAGCTTTACGTCACTATGGATCAGGTTAACGCATCTATCACTTGCTGGAGGTCTTCGCCTGTGTTTGCCTCCCTGGTGGTCCGGTCTCGTTTAAATGATAAGATGGCGGGCCCGGTTCTTCCCGGCTTGAACCAGATCCATGACCGCCCTTGCATCATTTTTGATGCTCTGGCCTCGGTTCAGGATCGTCTGGATGCATGCAAGATCCTTTTGAAAGAGTACCTCATCGAGGTGGTGCCGATCAACTTCCTTTACAGCTTGGACGTCGGGCAGCTGCGCGAAGCACTCGGGAACTCCTCTGTGCGAAGACTTCGGTTTTGTATGGGTCGTCGAAAACATCTTATGACCGGGTGGGCCAGTCGTCTGGCCGGTGCCCCCGGGCTCTCCCACTGCTATGGCACCAATTGGGACCCCTGCGAGCCTCGTTGTGTGCTCTGTGGTTACACAGTTCCCTGGACGAGGCTCGGCAGGCTTCGCCGGATGCCCCCGTGCAAGGTGCAGTATTCAGAGGCTATTCTGCCTGCGGCCTGTGAGGCAAGAGTCGCTGAACTTTCCTCGCAGGTCGACACCCTTGTGGCCCTTCTTTCACGTTTTGGGTTCACTCCGTGATTCCCAGGCAATGCCCTGGAGGATAGACAGCGCCGCTACCGCCAGCCACAATCAAAACCCGGGTAGATAAAGGCTAGTATATAAGGGGGCAGTCCCAGCCAGAAATAGTTGCGGCCGCCTGCTTAATTCTTTACATGGTTCTGGACAGACCATTGGAAATACTTGGTTTTGATTGTGACTCACATGCGGATGGACGAAATCCATTTCGCGCCACCTGAGAAACCATGGTTGAAACCATAGCGTTTCTTGGCATTGACAGGGGAAGCATCATTCCAGGCCTTCTTACACAAACCCCAACATTTGCACGTGGCCTTGTTAAGTCCGCCTTGCGGGTGCGCAGACGCCCGTTGGCAGCATAAAAGCTAATTTAATGTTTGTTTAGCTGAAATAGATTTGAAAAAAAAAGAGTTGCCTCACGGAGTTTGATGTTGAAAGGTATGTCAGGAGAGCCATCCAGAATTCAGCAAGTCATAACCTGGCGCCGCATCCGCCAACTTTAGAGTCTCCTTTGGCGGACTCCGTTTTAGGTTCCACGTTGAGTTGGGGAGCATATCCCCGTCTAGCCCGCTTCATGCAACAACTTGGCTCTGGAAATGATGCACTTTGCTTTTGTGTCTCCCCATGTTTGATGTTGGCACCCGGCATTGCAGGGACTTGCGGAGCTCGTCGAAAACTTGGGCTGGCTTGCTTTCGGATTGCATGATTATTTGCTTTAGCAGAGGCAGTGCCTCCCACGAGCCATTCATTTTGTTTCTTTGTGTGTTGTGTGTTGTGTGTGGGTGCGTGAACGCGCGCTACTTGCGAATGAGGCGCCCGTTGGCGACAATGGTTTAGCCAACTGCCACTCACCTTAGGTCGAAGCCACCAACATGGAGATCTCCCTCTCGGAGGCACCCTTGGAAAAGACGACTGCCGAAGTCCTCCGGCCATTGAAGTGCCGAAAAATTGCACGGGAGGTTTACGCGAGCTCGTAACGTCCCGTGTGGAAAAACTGGAGCCTTGGGTTTCCTCATGTTGGCTGCTACGATCCACGCTTTTGTTTAGGGCACTCAGGCGAGCAGGTGCGAACGCGTGAGTGCGGCTAACTGGAGGGCTCAGCTGTCTCACCCTCGGTTCGCATCCCTAACGTAATGGAAGGGTTTACTGGTTGCCCGCCTTAAGACGTCCTAATCTGCAGCCCTCTTTTCATCTGGACAAACTAGAAATCAGCGCTCATCAATCGGAGGTAAAGCTAGCCATGTCGCGCCCCATGACAAAGGTACCTTACTTTTCCTTAGGAATTGCAAGAGTTCCAGTGGGCGAATTAAGTATTGTAATGTAACTCCAGCAAACATGCATTGGGATCAGACATGATTGAACAAAACCACGGCCCCCAAGTTCCAGCTTGCTCTTTCCCGGAAGAAAAGGGGGTGGCTGTTGGACATGCCGAGAGAGAGGTGATCAAAACCCGGGTAGATGAAGGACAAGGGAGAATCCGCCCCCTTGTTAGTTCTTTACAGGTTTCCGGGTCCATTTTAGTACCAGGATTTGATCATGACTCCGCTGATCAGAGGAGGCACGCATTTTTTGAGTTTGGTGTGTTCACCAAAATGACGAACCCCCAAAACTGGGGTCCAAGACGATTTGTTTTGATTGCAACTCCTTTCGGAGATGGATGGCCGTCCGATCGCCATGCCCCCTGGCGCCGGATTCAGCGTTCTGCAGCTGCGTGATCGCGCTATTCAATGCCCATGCCTTCCCATACACACACCCTTTGCCTGGATTGCTGGTTTGCTGGGGCTAGTAGCTAATTTGCTAGCCCATTTGGCTATTGGATCCCATTGGTTAGGACACCCATAGACCAATGCTCAACAACAGCTCTGATCAAGGGTTCTCAACGTGGTGAGCTGCCTTTTGGTGTGCAAACAAAAGAAGACAAAACCGGGGTAATTATTCAACTTGCTGTTTCGATAGGCTTCCCAACACCCGGAACGGCCATTCCCTACTGGCAGCAAGTGTGGAAGCCAAACGACAATGACCACTGAGCATTCGCAGGTCACAGCCATCTTCACGCTGCATGTGGCGCGTGCCGCCCGCGACACCAACGGTGAAGGCCTTCATTTTGTTCGTGCGAGTGCCCCGCTCTTCGGATTGTCACTCTCCAAAAAGGAAACAGGGAAATTAGAGGGAAACCAGGCACAACCACACTTAAACAAAATCAGCATGGATCAGCAGGTTGTTCTTAAAGACATGTTTCCGCCAGATGCAAGAGTTCAAGTGGACAGTTCCTCAAAAACCGAGCCGAGGAACCTCCGAGGTCTGCTCAACACCGGCAACCCAAACTCCAAACACGTCAAAAGGTCAATTTGCTTACGTAAAACGAGAAGGGGGGGGACAGCCGCAAAGTCACGGGAGAATTCATGAAGAACGGCTGCTTGTGCCAAGTCCTTGACATCCACCAGAAGTTCCTTGGGTTGGGCAAGAGCTCTCAATGCACTTCGCACTTTTCGACACAATTTGAGTCGCAAATAAGCAGGTCTGACTAGTTTTTCTACTTTTTTTGATGGTCAGCCACTCAGAGCCACCCACCTCTTGTCCAAGCCGCCCTTCGCAACGCGATAGGTGCTATCTCACTGGGCCAGGTGCAGGCCAGGGCTCGGAGCCGAAAAAGCCTCCGAGTTCCGACTTCCATGGGCCCTGCGTCCGTCTTTTTTATGGGGGGGGGGGACGCTTCAAAACAGGTGGTTTTCAGGGGAAGCCAAGAGGAAACCAAGCAGTTTGCTGTCAAACCAACCCCTTGGAGGCTAACACACCATCCCGCAAATGGAGGAATTTAGGAGATCTGAAACAGCATGCTTCCCTTTCCTTTGTCCGACGATCATGCAAGTAGAGAGGCCTCTCAAGAGGATTGTAGTTTCGGATGGTTTCCAGCCCTCCGACCCAGTGCCATGTGGAACAAGGGCAGCAAAGACTAGCAACGTAAGTCACCAATTCCGGAAATTGATCATGGGCCCGCCTTTGGGCAGGTGACCGGGCATGCAGGACAGCTTGCGTCGGACAAGTGGGTAGCAACCATGGCAACGGTATAGCTCACTTGCCAGATTTAGCTCCCAGAAGTGGCGTATGACCATGAGAAGTGCCCTGCGCCTAGCGGAAAGTGTGTTATTTGAGCTTTAGCTATAGGGCGTAAAAAGGAGCGATTCAAAAACGGCCCTGTGATGGAGGTCCCCTCCTTGGGTGTTCGGCTGGCAAAGTTAGCAAGACACTCGCGTTGACATGCCTTCATCTCGGCCCTCACTACCTGCGTTTCTGCTAGCCCGCTCTTGCTCAAGCTTTGCCTGCATCATCTCCTGCTCTTTCTGCCGCATCTCCTGCGATTCCAGAAAACGATGCAGAGCCTTCTGCTTCTTCTCGTCGTCACTTGTCTTTTGGGCGAGAACGCGCAAATAGTCATCCACATCCGTTGCACGGAAGACAAAAGTTGCAACAAGCTCTGATGTCTGCCGTGTGTGTGTGTGTGGACATTGTACGGGTTCGTGTCTCTTGGGGTGTTCCTGCTGACTCAATAATCACATCGCAAGGGAACTCGATGCTTGAAAGAAGCGTTGCGACCACATTCAAACAGACAACCGCGCAGCCCCGAAGCACCTCGCAACCTCAATGTCCTCATTCCAAAACTTATAGTCAACGCCTGACTGAGCATCACACCAGCCCTAACAGCAGTCTCAACAGCAACATTGACATGTTATTCATGGAAACCCTCCTACTCACTTCCTGAGTTGGTGGACTTTAAACTTTTTGGAAAGACCATTTTAGTGGTAAATAAAAAGTTCAAACTTTTTTTGGCCAGTCAACTTGGGAAGTGAGCCTATGAAGCCTGAATCTTAACATCAAGGCAACATGGACTTAGAAATGGTCAATACCTTAACCCCTTTCAAATGCAAAAGCTGTTCAAAAACTGAAGCTTGATCCCCAGAAAATTCCACCAAAAAATGAACCAACACATTTGCTTGTTGAAAATGAACACTGAACCTTGAAACCCCGAATAAAAGTCCCCTACCCTAGGGCCCCCTTATAACTTGATGAATGCCCTTCTGCATAAACACCCCCCTCGATATGCCGGACAGGGTGCGGGACAAAGTGCCGGACAAAGTGCGGGACAAGCTGCTGGACTGTCTGGCAAGTTGTCCGGGGGCTTGTCTGGGGGGTTGTCCGCGCACTTTGCCGAGATTTATGCCGCAAACCCCCCCCTCCCGCGGGAATGCTTCCCTCCGAGTGATTCGCGAGTGGTTTCCGAGTGGTTTTGAGCGGGTTCCGGTTTCCGAGTGGTTTGCGAGCAGTTTCAGAGCGGTTTCCGAGCGGTTTCCAAGTGGTTTCCGACTGGTTTCCGACTGGTTTTGGCGTGTTCCAAACCTGTCCGAAGACTTGACAGGTTGAAACCGGGGGGGTTGTCGTCCGTCCTTGGGGCTTCACCTTTGGTTGCACGAAAGCAGCCTGAGAAAGCAAAGCAGGCCAGATTTGCGCAGCATTCAACCAATCTATTGATATATGTGTTCCAGCCAAATCAGTTGGCACCGGCTCAAGGGCTGCGGCGTCTACCCCGTGGCTCAAAACCCACTAACAGGGATGACATTCACAGGAGGGCATACAAGTGGGTTAATTACCACCTAGGTTAACTATTCATGCTAAATTAAATCAACCTAAAAGCAATAACGAAGACGATAAGGAGAAGATTGATAAAATGTTTGAAAAGATATAGATAGCACGCCCGCCTGGCAGTTACGATGGTAAGAGGCCGAAATGCTGCGAAATGATGAATAACAATAAAATCAAACAAGAAAAATTAAAACTATCGAATACTACAAACTGCTTAAGAACGAAGAAGAAAATGCCAATTAGTATAACAAATATCTAAATCGTTCTAATTATATGTGAAATTATTAGAGCTATTTTCAGGTAGTCACAGCGTAGGTAAATTTGTTCGCGGCTTAGGTTTTAATGTAATATTGTTGGAATTGAAAAATGCTGATATTAATTGTGATGTACTTGAATGGGGTTAAAAAGCAGTTTGACAAGAACAACTTTGATTTTATTTGGAGTTCGCCACCTTGTACGGAATACAGCAAAGCAAAACCAACAGGAAAAAGAAACATTTGAGCGCGTCGCGCAGAATGCCTGGAACGAACAATCACTTGGTAATCGTGTCAGGGGATGCTGATAGAAATGGGAACAAGAAAAAAGAGTAACAGCAAAGCAAGACCAATACCAGAGGTCCAAGAAAGAACTATAACAACAGAAAGTGTTCAACCAATGTGATAAAGTAAAGCTATGAATTGTGATAAATCTAATCATGTTATGAATCTTAAAAATGAATTGACAGTAGATAAGGGTGGGGTGAAGGTTAGTTGTATTCCTTGTATGGTTTCTTACAAAAGGTTAGATAAGGATGTAAAAAGAGAAAAAACCTGGTGGTGATATGGGTATTGAAACTAATGAACATTTGTCCTAATGTTAGTTTTAACATGCACAAAAACTACTATATACAGTGTAGATTTAACACCACTTCAAACGCATAGATAACTAAATGCATATCTAAATATCTAAACATTTATGTATAGAAATGTCAGAAAATGAAAGTTTTACAATTAGCGATTTAATGAAAACTTGTAATTCTTAGTAAGAGATAGTTGACCATCCACAGACTGGATTATTGAAAAGTCCGGTTTTTTATGAATGGGGTAAGGTTTAATGACATTGACTATTGTAGATATTGATTTATTTTCAGGAAGCAAAAGCAGCTTATGGAACCATCTAAACAAATGGAAGCCTAGACCATTATGTATTTGAGATTGTGATAAAACCAGGAATAATAAACACATTGAAACAGCGCAACTTGCACCAAGCGGAAAGAGAGAAAGTTGGGGTGAAAACTATGTAAAGCGTAAGCAAGAAGACTTATGCAAAATCCCGAGAGAGTTAACCAGTGAAATCTTATTGAGTGTACAAAATACTTCAGGAAATGATACATTAGCATCATAGAAGTAATGCAAGGTATGACAGTATTAACCACAGAAAAATAGATAAGTTGATTGAGATAAGACAAGAGGAAAGTGATGAAGTTGAAAGATTCATTAAGTTGAATTCTTACCCGCCTTTTGCAGAAATGAACGATGTATTTAATGCAAATTCAATGACAAATAGGTTATCCTGAAAACCCTTTAATAAAACATTATCATCGTGATTTGTTAATGAATCCTTACAATGAACTATACGCTGAAGGAAAAGTAATAGAATATGGAGCAGAGTTAAACAATATAAAGTTTACAGGTTGTAAAAATCTTGAAGATATGAATTTCTTTTTTAGGAGAACAAACTTTTTCATTCTTCAAGCAAGAAGCAGAAGGGAGGAAACAAACATATTGACAAAGAAACAGCATTAGGTTGGCCAAGGCAAATAGAAGGGTGGTGGAATGAGATTGACGAAAACTTTGGTATTTATTGTGATTTTAGCAATTGGAAACCATAAGCAAGATTTTTCAGTTTACCCATACTATTTAATTAATTATAATATGATCAAAAAACAAAAACATAACACAAGCCCATAACATTGACAATAAGCATGGCAAAGTCTTCAAACGAAAAAACTGTTCAACAACTCTTGCACCCCGGAAAATTCAATAGAAACCCCTTAGGTGAAATGAACAATGGTGTATGCTTGTTGAAAATGAACATAGAAAAAAAACCTGAATAAAAAACACCTACCCCAGGAGCCCCCTATTAACCACCCCCCTCCCCCCACCCGCCCCGCCAAATTGGGCGAGATCGACTCCTTGATTCCTCCGCAGGTGGTGAACTTGGCGGACACGGCCCGGCACGCCAACCCGGCACGCAGGCCTGGGTCCAAAGTGCTTCGGGGGCCGGGGGGGGGCGGTTGGGGTTGGGGGCTGGTGGGATGCAATTCGCGGGTTGTCAGAGTATCCAAAAAGGGGGCCGGTTGCTTCCTTTAAGCCAGTATTTGATTGTAAGCTGCAGGGGGGGTTGAATCATTTTAGGGTTTCTTGGGCAGAAATGGATTTCGTCCAGCCACAGTAGGTCCAGAAGAATGAAGTGAGAACATTTTGAGGGGTGAACAATGGGTGAACATGTCTTTTTCTGGTTCTCAAAAATGACCCCTATAAACATCTATGAACCATCCAATTCGTGGCTTCCTTCAAGGGAATCCCTAGGTTCTTTGCCAAAGCCTGAGCCGTGCACCAGCCCGCTTGGGCCCAGGAACAAGGCCATCGACAGCCTACGGGAGGTGGTGCATTGCCTCAGCAGGCCCAGGACTGGGGAAGGATTGGGGATTGGGCTAGGGCTGCTTCAGGGCGGGATTTGCCCATGCTCTGATGCGCAACTCTGGAATTCGCTTGTCCCGCTTCTTGCGAGCGTGCAAAGCGGATCCTTCCCTTCTTGTTTCCCAATTGCGTAAGTCTGAAGAAGGCCTCATCAACGAGGGTGAGGGAAGTGGGGGCTGGGGCATGGCAACCTGACCTGATACACGCAACCGCGATCCCGCTCTTGAACAAAACCAGGAGGAAATGCAGGGGTAATTATTTGCCGCTCCTCAAAGCACCCCTTGCGTTTCTTGAAGCTGGCTTAAATGTGTTAAACCCACCCCCTACCCTACTTGCGAACGGCTTCCAAGGGCTAAGGGGTTTAACCCAACCCCCGGATTTGTTGCACCGTCCCCCTCAAGCTGCTGGATTCACAGCGAGGCCAGTCGCGCCAGGCCCCCGACCTTTGTGCCCTACCGGAACTCGGGCCTCACTCGGCTGCTGCAGCCGGCGCTGGCCTTTGGAGTGGTGCGGCTGCTGGGCACCGGCAAGGACCTGGAGGAGGCTCCGGGTTTGGACGCCCCTCGTGTTGCAGCGCGGAGGCCGTGTTTTGCTGGTTTTGCTTCCTAGGGGGAGCCTCCTTAGTTTTTGTTGGCAGTATTTGTGTCACTCGGCTGGTGAGGACTCAATTGTTCCCCCCAAAAAAAAGAGAACATATATGAACAGATGCCGATTGACTTTGGGAGCGTCGGCATGCCTTGATTTGTCAGGTCTGAGCAGGAGTGATCCTTCGGCCGGGCTGTGAGCGGATTTATTTGGGTGCAGGGTACCGCCATGGACGGACTGGTTTCGACAAGTCAACCTTAGACAGCGTTTCATTTTGCAGTTGCATTTCCGTGTTTTTGAATTGCCCTTCAAATGCTACTTGCCACTTTTTCCAAGCCGTTCGTTCTTCTTTGAAAACTGCGTTACGTTGGCTGGCCCCCGCTCCCCCCCCAAAAAAAAGGAACAACACGGGGCGCATGTCACAGGGCGCCATATGCCCTGCACATGTCTGAGTTTTCGGCTGGCCTTGCTTGTTTGGCCGGCCCAGCCAAGATAGCCCTCCGCCAAAGAGAAGAGCGATTCCCTAGTCTCTGGACCCGATCAGCGCTGCAACCGGAGGGGGGGCCTCAATTCCGAAGGCTCGGGTGCTCGGGGGGGCGTCAGGCGGAAACCCAAGCGACGCTGCGCTTCTGTCGGGAAGCGAGGCAGGTGCTGACCGTCCCGCAGGCACGGCTTAGCCAGGGCATGCCTGCTCGGTGTGTTCGGTCGGGTTGCTCGGTTGGTCGGTTGTCATGGGAAGCAGTACCTTCGCCCTCAAGGGAGATCGCTTGTGCTAGTCGACTCCGAAGCTGCCTCGAAAGGCACAACTTTTTCATCTGGTTGCTGTGCGAGAGATGGTTTTGGGATCAACTCACCTCTGCAGGGAGCAGATGGCAGACGCCTTGGATGCCAGGGTCAGTCACTTTTACTCCCAGTAGCGCCCCCCCCCCCCCCCGCACTTTCAGGTTGCACGTTAGCGGATGGGGGCTGTTCCCCAGAGCGCCTAATCGCGAGGCTCATCACATCGCTGCGGATTCGGAGGAGGGCGCCTGGGGTGCTGCGCTGGCAGCCCTGAGCTCGTGCGATGAAGCACCGGACGCAAAGAGTCCGTTGAATGCTCGCGGGTCGGGGCTTGGGCGTTCTTTCCATTGCGTCGCCCCCTTCATCTGACCATTTCTGACCGTTATATAATCGCCAAGATGCAGGACAGTATTGAACCGGTTCTCCGAAATCAACTCTCAATCGCATGGTGGCATTTGCCCTGGTCTGCGGAGTGTAAGCGGAGTGTAAGCGGTGCCCGGATCACGTATTAGGCTTCCGCCCATTTGAACAACCCGGAGTACGGCGGATTCTCTAAACAAGCAAGGTAAGGTGGCCCCCATAGTCACTATGGTTTGTGGTTGGTTTACTTGCGTTGCCCCGAGCAGTCCAGGTAGATGTTAATCCTTCAGCATGGCATGTTTCTTCAGCACGCAAAGGCCGAGTGTGGTATGCAGACGTTGGGTGCTCATAGTATATAATATAAAAAGCTGAACGGGCCCTGAGGGCATTTAGGGATGGATTGACTTCCTAGCTAGCCAACTTGCTGTTTTGCTCCGCACCTTACCTAAAACAGTCACAGCTGCACAACCCCAGCAATCTGCGATCCAGGCTCTCAGTGGGTCAAGCCACATAAACCCCTCACATCGTGACATCCCCAAGCAAACCTCTATAGGTTGCCATGCTTTGTGCTTGGTTTGCTTCTACTCGACCAGCCGCCCGCGAAGAACCCGCCGACAACCGGCTCCAAGCTCAGCACGGGGCCGCGCCGTTTGAAACAGACGCCGGCCATGCCAAAGGAAGGCCTGCGGCGGCGCGGGCGCGCGGAGTCGGACCCGCGGGGTAACACAACGGAGGACTGAGCGCTCGCTGCAGCTGACCGCGGCGTGCGGTTGTCCGTAGTCCCTTAAAGCAGCTTTCATTCTGCCAAGCTGCTGCGAAAGAAAGGAACCTTCAACGCGCAGCCTTCAAGTGCGGGATTGCCACCTCGCTCCGGGAGGTGCCTATTTGGGGCCCCCTTCAGGAATCATCGTTGGCATTCAGGAACTATACCTTTGGATGTGTCTGGTTGGCGGGTGCCCGTTCTAAAGTAAAACGGGACGCCCACATTTAGGCCGTCGGAGGAAAGCTGGAAACATGGTTGTTGTTGGGAGAAACATTTTACATTTTTGCTTATGGTGGTTTAGTGGGAAATCCCCACTTAACTGCTTGGTTTTTTTTTGCTCCCCTTCCAACGTCAACCAAGGAAAGTCGGGGAGGGCAGCCGATTGGGGAGGGTGGGATCCTCAGGCTGAAAAATCCGCATGGATTTGGACCAGGCTGCTTGCATCTTCCCCGTGTTTGGACTTCAAACTATTTGTGGGTTTGGACCAGTTTAGTGGTAGAAAGTTCAGACTTTGCTGGGCCAATCTGCTCAGGAAGTGTGAGGCATGATTTTGATGTGGGGCAGCATAGAATCATTGACCATCATCTTGGCAGTGCCTTCCTTGTTTTGAGAAGTGCTGCCGCAAGTTCAGGATGACACAGACTTGGCGGATGACCTTGCGAGCGAGCAGGAGTCGTCCAAGCCAGCGCTCAATGAAGGAGGGGAAAAGCTCCTCTCCAAGGCGCTTCGGAGTTATTGCGCAGGGCTCATGCGACCCTTGTTGCGGCCAGTAGTGTAAACCGGGATATTTTCCGCCCTCAGAATCACAAGTTTCCTACTGCGACCCTGGATGGAAGGTGGAGTGCAGCTCCAACTGGTGCGATACTCGGTTTCAATAGAAGCACCTTTTCCTCCGGCCGTGAGGTGAAGATGAAGAAGATGACCGTTCGCGCCGTGATGGGTGTCAGCATGATGGTCACCTTCGGGGGCATCATTTACCTAGGCCACGTGTGCCTTGGTCAGCAAGTGTTTGTGTGGATTTGTTTGTTTTTTGCTTTTCATGGCAAGATCGCTCAGGGAAACCAGGGGACATGCCACTTGGGTCTCGAGACAAAGCCAAAGCCTAGGAGCTGCGAAGTCCCTGTCTGGGCCTTCTTGATTCATGTCTGAGGGCTGTCCATTTGCTCAAGTGAGGCGGTTCCGAGAATTGGGGCAAAAGAAAAACACTGGTTCCCTTTGGCATCCCCTGGAAAAGAGAAACAACTGGACCTCTTTGGCATCCCCTGCAAAAGAAAAACAACCGGTTCCCTTTCCCTTTGCATCTGCTGGACAACCCAGCCAAAAAGCACCCCCCCCTCCACTTGCGGAGCGCGACTAGGTACCTTTGCATGCTGGTTTTCCTTCTGCAATGCTTCATCTTCTCGGAGCTGGTGGGGGTCAGGACGGCCGGGTCACAAGGGCTGGATTTTAGATGAGTTTTGGTTGAACATAGTTGTGTCCTTTTGAAGTGTGCTTATTAGGTCAGAAGTGTTTTCACAAGGGCTGGGGCACATAGGCATCCTGTTAGATAAGTTTTGGTTGAACATATATAGCCATGGGTCAAATCCCGGTTACCCCCCACTGAACATCCGATTCAATCCAACCACTACAATAGGTTCTAACATGGGTGGTGCACCTACCTACCCCAAAATGGTACCATTGGGTTTGTTAACCCACAGCCATATGTGTCCTTTTGAGGTGTGCTTCTTTGGGTCAGTTGGTCGAATATGGGTGGCACCAAAGCTGTTTCTAAACCTTTTTGGAGTCGCAACCCCAAAACGTCTAAACTTGTATTTTCAGGATTGTCCAAGTCCTTTGGGGAAAGGCGTGGAGACACACAAGAAGATTAGCATGCAGCCTTGTTTCGTTGAAGACAAAGTCATTTCCTATGCTCTTTCAAGTTTTGCATTCAGCTGGTGATGGTGTTGCATGGTATGTCTAGACAAGGTTGTTGTATGTTTAAACTTGGGCAAGGATCAGTCAGAAATGCACGTGTTGGCTTAAGTTGCAAGTGCCTTCTTCCACAGCAATGGTCTCCTCCTCAAAACCCCTTGGCTTCTCTTTGGTTCGAATGTAACCTTTGTCTGCAGGTGTCGCTTCGTTGAGCCGTTTTGCATTTTTTCCTGCAAACCTGCCAACACGTTATGTGTTTGGTCGCTGGGCCTGATCACGAGGCCAGGGTTGAGGGAATCCACCCTGAAGGCCTTAGGACAGCCCCTTATGGCTCCACGTTTCCCTGCGGTTGGAGGCTCCGTCAGGATTGAGTACAGTGACCCTCGTCGAAATCGACGACCCTGCCACTCCCATGGTGGGAAATCGTTTTGTTTGGCCCAGTTGCTGTTAACGTGAACAAAGTGAAGATGGAATGCCGCCCTGGCATCGCAAGACTCATCTTCCACATGAGCCAGGCTTTCTGGTGCCAGGCCCGAGCTCCCGATGGGAGAAATCGCCCGACCGTTTTTCGGCTCGTTCCGCTTGCTCCAGGAAGCGGCAGGCCGCGGAGCGGCGGCTGCCGTTGTTCCGGTCCATCCAGTGGGCCTGGTTCTTCGTGGCCTCCTTCTTCACCTGGAGCGCCGCCCGCCCAAGCTGAGTCCACCCCGAGGAACGGGGTTCACCAAGCGGCGGGTGCTCTGATGCGAGCGCGGGCAAGCCGCAAGCCAAGGTTTATCTGCGGGGAGTTACCTGGAAGATGAATTTCCTCTAGTAGGGAGCCCCTGTCAGGTGCCATGTTAGCGAGAGGGAGGGTAGCGTTTGATTTCCAGGTCCTTTGCGCCTAGGACAAAGTCCCGACAGCCTCTCCCTGATGCCGAGGCCAGCATCTGCGAGTTCGTGGAGAACAGCCCCAGATTTGTAGCATCTTGGCCTACCGCCAGGCTGATCCTGGAAAAGAACATGAGCCCTGGCCGATTTAGACAAACCTTTGGGCTGGTCGGCGACAAAGAAGTTGCGCATGCGATTCCTTTCATTTGTGTGTGTGTGAGCGTTGTGTTTGTTTGTTTGTTTGTTTGTTTGTTTGTTTGGTTGGTTGGTTGGTTGGTTGGTTGTGTGCTGGCCTGTTTGTTTGTTTGCTGGCTTCTTAGTCAGCTTGGTTGTTTGCTTGCTTGCTTGCTTGTTCTTTCGTTTGCTTGCTCGTTTTTGTTTGCGTGGTTGTTTGTTTTGTCGTGTTGTGTTTAGTTTGCTTGTTCTTCGTTCGTTTGTCATTGTCATTGTTTGTCTTGTCTTTCTTGACTTGCCTCCTGTCCTGTCCTGTCCTGTCCTGGCCTGTCCTGTTTGCCTGCTCACTTGTTTGCATGCCTGCCTGCCCTGCCCTGCCCTGCCCTGCCCTGCCCTGCCCTGCCCTGCCCTGCCCTGCCCTGCCTGCCCTGCCTTCCTTCCTTCCTTCCTGTCTGCCCGCCTGCCTGCCTGCCTGCCTGCCTGCCGCCTGCCTGCGCGTTTGTGTTTCTATGTGCTTCTGAGTATGTCTGTGTGTGTGCGCGTGCGTTTGTTCTCCATGTAGGTTTGAGTGTGTGTGTGTGTGTGGTTGTGATAGGTGGCCCAATGAGGAACGTGGAATTCCATCCGTCCACCTCCCCCCCACCCCGCCCCCATGACGTTTTGCAGGATGGTGTCCTTTTCCCTGTACACCATGCTGCTGATGGTGTCGGTGCTCAGCCTACGAAAGGGCCTCTACAAGTACCAAATCACTCAGTACACCTGGACAGTGTTGCCCAGCTGCCTAGTGAATTGTTTTACTTGTGCCATTTTTTCTTGTTCTTTTTTTTGGGGGGGGGAGGGGGTGAATCAGTGAAAAAGGTTTTCCTGGAAATGGGGTTGTTGTTACTCCTCCCCCCCCCCCAACAAAAAGCAACAGGGGGGTCCCTTTAACTTTAAAATGTGTTATTGTTTCTATTTTGTGAGGTAGCCTCCGCCTGTCAAAAAACAAGCAGAAGAATAAACAACAATGGATGGTTCTCAAAGTGGCTTCCTTTATAA